AATCAAGATAATGCAAAGGAATCAGGATTTTCGCTTCAGAACCGCAAGAAAGGAGCATAGAGTTTGACTTCTCTCAATTGTTCGCCAATTCAACTAGTTACTGGGCTCTTCCACACCAGACATTTTTCACCGTAGGATGCTTTCGTCGTTGTTTTAGCCGAAAGGTAGGACGTGTCCACTTAATATGAGCTGTGATTAACTAAAAGGGTGTCAGATTTTTGCAATGAGAGTGATAGATGCCAAATCATATAAAGGAATTGAATTTTTTTGGGTTGGAACTCACCATTTTGCAAATTGTCGTCTTATTGTTCTTTCATCCAGTTCAGAGGTGAATGTTTAAGGTGGATCAGGTTTTCCTTTGGGCCGTTGTGTTTCAGAGGCCCCCCTGCTTGTCGTGTTTTTGCTGGTAGATGCTTGGGTTGGGCTGTCTAAATCCTACTTTGTGTTTTTAGGACAGTTTTTTTTTTTTTTTTTTATTTTATTTTTTTTTTTTATTTTTTTTATTTTGAACAAACGATAGTATATATACTAAGAAAGTGGGGGAAGTGAGCTAAGTCTTACAATGAGTTTGCTAATAATGTGGAAGACTTTTCATTTACAAGTGAAGAGAAATATCACTAGACCGTAGTACTAAGTAGTTTTAGGACATGTTAAGACTTTTAAAGAGTAGCCACTCGAGCAATGCTTGAGCTGTTCTTGAGAGGCTTCGGTGGAGGTTTTAGTGTCGCTCCAGGGGCCTCGAAAGGGCTTGAGCATTGCTCCTGGATCATCTTATTAGGTTTTCATTATATTATACTAATACATGACCACACATAAAGTGAAATATTTTACTTTTATTTTTTAAATTGAAGCGTCGTAATCGGGGGAGCATAATCCCTTGTGTTTCCAGTTTGATTTGTTGAATCCAAATGTTGACTTTTAGATACATGGTCCCCAGATTTCAACTTGATATTTGATGCGTTTGTCTTCTCTTGTTGTAGGTTAAGGGTCGTGGTGTTTTGTTTCATCTAATTAGGATCTCATCCACTTCCAAAAACTACAACAAAAAATGGTGTAGAGCCAAATCCTATCATCTTGAAATCTACATCATCCCTTTATCCTTTCTCTAACGCTATTATTGATAGAGAGATTTTTTAGTATGCCTGAAACACAGGATGGTACACCACATAAGCTTTGACGAAACAATATTCCAAGTTAGTCATCCTGTCACACAACAATATAATATTTTATAGGCTTAAGTGGATTAATAGTCTCCTTGTGAGCCTCATGTGCCAATAATTAATGGAGAGTTGACGAAATTTTCAATTTTGGGTATAAATCTAACAGACTTCACCATAATGACTTAAATCCTTGTGTTTTTTTTTGTTTTTTTGTTTACCACATGAGCTATCTTCCAACTACCATGTTGCCACGGAAACTAATAATCCTATTAGGCCTATTATATTATAACATTATCGTTGTATGTAAGTCTCTTCAGACGAGCTTACATACAACAATGCAGGGGCAAATGGGTCTTTAACACTGAACAAGATTATGAAAGTTGCTTGCCGGCCGGCCGGCCGTCTAATGAGCTAATAATGCCACATGCGTTTGAAGGTTTTGTCAAACCAAACTTAACTTTTCTGTGACGTATGCCAAAAAAGTCGAAAACAACAACGCCACTCTTAATTAACAATTACTCGAATATCTACGCCTGCAAATTAGATATAAAACCAAGTTATATTAATTATTGGATCATTTGATGTTACGGAAAAACAAGAGAAGGGTTGTATGTTACACACATGAGAATAATTAAGTTGGTTACAACAACGTTTTGCACCAAAGAAATAATATACTGTTAATGTAGCGTCCAGTATCAATGAAATAGAATTATGTTTAATATTGTACTCATGTGTATTTATTTCATTAGCACTCCCCATATCTAAGTTGTTTTTGCTCTTCACACTTTGTCTCTCTTTTCTTGTACCATGGTATGTCTTGTTACTGAAAGAAAAGCAACAAGTGTTGTTGAAACCTAATCACAAATAAACAAGTGTCCAATCATAATTTCTAATTTTAATTATACAAACACGTGTCTATTTGTAATTAATTTTTCAACAGCACTTGCTACTCTTCTTTCAGCACCTAAGCAGGATTTTATGGACCATATAGCCATTTCCACACAGGAATTAAAATACAAGATTCCTTTCCACCTATAATCTAACAAGTGATTGAAAATTTGAATCTGACTGATTCCTTGACCCCATAAAAAATTTCTTATTTTAGTAATATTTTTATTTCTTTTATGCAGTTTCATATCCCGTCCCGTTGGGATTATGGGTTTATAATCCGACCTTTCTCCAGCGCCATTCTCACACCCCGCTGGATTCTGAAATCCCAGAAAAAGCCTGGACTCTAGAAATTGTCATTTGCTATGCACTTTGTCCAATCCAAGAGTCTTTGTCCGTTTTGAGCCTTGCAATTAGTCCTGGACTATATCATCCCTAGCTAAATCCATCTGCTATTCACAATCACGTATTGTCAGTTCATCACACTCTTTACCCGTAATTTCAGATCCTTCCACTCTCCACTCAAATCCCGTTTTTCGTAAATTAGATTAGTTTAGAATATCGCTCGAAAAAAAGGGTTTGGCTTCCAAAAGGGAGGAGCTTTATAATCGAATTGTCAAAAAGTCGTTAAATTTATCATCTGGGATTCGATGGGTTTCGAAGGAGTGGAAGAATCGGGAGGGACGGAGGTGCCCCAGTCGAAGTTCAGGTACAACTCGCCGTTTGTCCAAGTGAGTCTGATCGGATTCGTCTGTTTCTGCTGCCCTGGCATGTTCAACGCCCTCTCCGGCATGGGCGGCGGAGGCCAGGTCGATCCGACCGCCTCCAACAACGCCTCCACCGCCCTCTACACCACCTTCGCCGTCTTCGGTATCCTCGGCGGCGGCATCTACAACATCCTCGGCCCCCGCCTCACCCTCCTCTCCGCCTGCTCCACCTACGTCCTATACGCCGGCTCATTCCTCTACTATAACCACCATAAGCACCAGGCTTTTGCTGTTGTTGCCGGAGCAATCCTCGGAATCGGCGCTGGCCTCCTCTGGGTCGGTCAAGGTGCCATCATGACGTCATACCCTCCCCCGAATCGAAAGGGGACGTACATCTCGCTTTTCTGGAGCATTTTCAACATGGGCGGCGTCATCGGAGGACTAATCCCCTTTGTTCTTAATTACCACCGGAGCGAAGCGGCGTCCGTCAACGATGCAACTTACATCGGGTTCATGATTTTCATGTCCATCGGGACTCTTTTGACCCTCGCTATCCTGCCCCCCAGCAAAGTTGTCCGGGACGACGGGACTAAGTGTACGGACATTCAGTACTCAAATGTCACAACTGAGGCCATTGAGATTGTCAAGCTGTTTATAAATTGGAAAATGCTTCTTATAGTGCCGGCAGCTTGGTCGAGCAATTTTTTCTACACCTACCAATTCAACAATGTCAACAAGATTATGTTTAATCTGAGGACCAGAGGATTCAACAATGTGTTCTACTGGGGAGCGCAGATGTTGGGGTCCGTCGTGATTGGACACATCATGGATTTCAGCTTCAAGAGTAGGAGGATGAGGGGTTTCGCTGGCATTTCTGTGGTTGGTGTCATCGGGACTGCCATTTGGATTGGCGGACTTGCCAACCAGCTCAACTACTCTCGCGGCGATTTGCCAGAGAAGTTGGATTTTAAGGACTCGGGATCTGCTTTCGCAGGACCATTCGTGTTGTATTTCAGCTTCGGGTTGCTTGATGCCATGTTCCAGAGCATGGTTTACTGGATCATTGGAGCCTTGGCGGATGACTCTGAAATTCTGAGCAGGTAACGTGCCTCGGTTCTCAAGTTTTAATCTCAGTGATCTTTGTGCATTTAGGCCATTTTCCGCGCGCGTGATTGGATTGGACTGGATACTCCAATCCGCGCACGAGACTTGGCCTTAAACTGTGATGCTAAATACGTGTTTTGTGCATGTATTTTACAGGTACGTTGGATTCTACAAGGGAATACAGAGTGCAGGGGCAGCAGTTGCTTGGCAAGTCGACACGCGCAAGGCGTCTTTCCTCGCCCAATTGGTTACGAATTTCGCGCTCAACACCGTGAGCTATCCGTTGCTAGTGGTTCTGATATTGCTGGCTGTGAAGGATGAAGGCAAGACTGATGTGGAGGAATTTACAATGGAGAAGGTTGCTGAGCCTGCAGCGTCAGGAAAGTGATCATAATGGTCGTCAGCTTAATTAGCATATCGAATTTGCCATAATCCATCCGAATATTTGTCTTAATTACGTTCACACGATCAAATCTTCATGCTTCAGTGTAATGAAAATGCTAGTGTAATTGATGTATCATGTTCAAATTGTCAAAGTATTTTACAGATTTATCGAAGTTCATGTTTTGATAAAATTTCCTTTAATTTTGGAATGATTAGTTCTTGATCATGATTGTCTATTAGTTTCATGCCGGATTCTTTCATGCTTAAAAATTCAATGATCTCCGGCTTTCAAACGGCCCCTAAGGGAATGAATATTGGATTTGGAGTAGGTCAGTTGCCCCGTTGCACTTGAGTTTGAAACCGACCAGAATAGTTTGGAATATCACCAGAGAATGAATATTAACGTCTTCTTTTGACTAGAATAGTTTTTAATACCAACGAAGGATGGATATTGACGTCTTTTTTTCTTTTTCCATGTAAAGTTTGTAACACAACAGGATATGTAACACAAATTTTGATTGATCTACAGAAGGAAATGGCGGTCCTAATTAACATTTTTTGTGACAAAATTTATTTTTAAAACATACATGATTAATAAATAATTCTGGCATATACATATAAATGAATTAAAATATAGGATTTTCACTACTTAATATATAATTCTGGCACATACACATAAACTTCATGGCTTTAGGGTTCTTGTATTTTGGGATACATTAATTAATATAAAGCTGGATTGGAAGCGCATGCAATGCGATCAAACAATAACAAGAGGTGCATCCTTAGCCTTGTCCTCTGCCGCGGCCGGAGCTGCTGCCTTTGCTACATCCTCCTCCGTGGCCTTTGGATTGATCTCCACCGCTGGCTCCTCTTCTTTCGCCTTCCGTGCAGGCTCCTCTTCTTTCGCCTTCCGTGCAGGCTCCTCCACCAGCTCTTTCCCCTTGGTCTCCTTCACAGCCTCAACGAGATTAATCTCCGCCAGTTGCTTGGCAACAACTTCGGCTTGATCCTTTTCAGTTGCTACCACATCAGCCTCGGCCGCAGCCTCAGCCTCCTTCTCCTTTGGCTTTGAGAGGTCTACCAAAGGTGCTTCAGTGGTGGTCTCCTCTTGTTTCGCATCCTGGTTGGTAGTGGCGGTGGTGGTTGTAGTAGTGGCCTCACCCTCCTGAGGGCCATCAGCCTTCTTGGGGCTGGTGGTCTCGCTAGGGAGGGTCTCTGGGCGAGGGGTGTCGAACTCCTTTGGCTTGCTCGCACAGCCTCCCATGATTTGATTCGGTTGATGGGACGAGTGAGCGAGTTTTGGAGTTGGACGTCGGGGTCCGGGATATTAGGTATTAATTTATCAAAGGAGAGGAGGGGCGGTGTTTGAGGCTGAGGGAAAATGATTAAGGACAGAATGGGTTCATATAGTGGAACAAGAGGTCTTATGTTTAGGAGAAATTGTTGGTCATCAGCCTGGCAATTACCTGCATTTTCAAACCCGACAACTCTACTTCTGTTTCTCCTCCGATTTTCTTGCTGGGAAATTAGAGGAGGTGGTCTTCCAGTTCGTTATTACAGTTGGTCGTTTTCAAATTTTGTGCGGCTGTCCCCTTCGCCCCGTGTCTCTTGTTCCCAAAATTTAGAGCAACAACCCCTTCAAAAAATAAAATAAAATACCAATTAACTATACTAATTACTAAAAGTGAAACTATTAAGCAAAATGTGTGGAAGCTAGACTTGTGGTCAGAATGAGGTTGAAATGTTTCCGTGAGTCTTTTCGGTCTCCGAAATGGGTGGATAATCTTGACTTGCCACTAATTGTTTCCCTTAAGAAATAAAAATAAAAACTATTAAGCAAAACTATAAACATATGGTTCTTTCCTTGCGGATCAAGCCACGTAATTTTCAAATGGGTGATCGAATGGGTTAAACCCGCGACAAATGTAGCCATTTCATATTTCGTTCTGATTAGATGGTATATCTTTTTATTTTTTTTTTGTTGAAATTTGAATATTATTAAATACGAATCGAAATGTTTACATCAAATGCCAGAGTATTAAACAACCACTCTGGTTCAAAACCATCCCAAGTATGACTACCCCCCACACGCGTGACATAAGAAGCCACAAGATGCGTAGCCTCATTACAGGCACGAGGAGTATATAAGAACTTAATAGCGTCAAATTGTTGCTGAAGAAGATGAATATCCCATAAGATACCATCGAGAACTGCCTCCAGTTGTACATGACCATGAATCATGTCGACAAGAACCTAAAAGTCAGTCTCCAACTATACAGATTCAAAGCCTCTCTCCACACAAGCCAACAAAGCCACTCGCAATGCTTCTGCTTCGGCCATAATACTCGAGACACAAGGAATTTTTCCAACACCTCCAACACCTTTGAAGATGCCCACAAAATCCCTCACCACCCAACCAACACCACCTATACCAGTCTAGCTATGCTCCATCACAATTAATTTTAAAAGTTCCAAAAGGTGGCTTGATCCACCCTTGAAGACCCTCTTTACTCACTTGCTGCCCACGGGGTACCAAGTGCACCTATGCTTCTTCACAAACCTTCAACTCCTCCCATTGTTGTTTAAGTAATTGAATCGCAACAAGGGGCTTTACCTCAACCTTCTCAAACACCAAACTATTTCGACATTTCCATATCCTCCATAAACCACCAACCACCCATCGCATAAGGTCACAAGCCTCCCCATCTTTACCATATTTTGCACATAACCACTTCGGACATTCCAAAAAATCCACACCGACCACCATGGTCACATCTAATTGAAGCGGGGAACCAAACCAAAAAACACGGACAAATGGGCAAAAAAAATAAGATATGTACCCGTGTTTCCACCTCACCTTCACAAAAAGGGCAACTAGTCTCCAGACGTATCCCCTGTCGTTGCAAATTTGTACGCACTGCCAAAATATTCCTGCACCCTTTCCAAACAAAATGACATAATTTGGGTGGAACCTTCAATCTCCAAATATCCCTCCACACCGAATCCCCATTATCAGCCATACTAGACTGACCCACACCTTTCCGTCCGAGCTTCCCATTTCTACTCATTTTTGCGCCACCATATACCCAGACTTCATTGAATAAACTCCATTTTGTGTATAATGCCACATCATACGATTCACTGAATAAACTCCATTTTGTGTATAATGCCACATCATACGATTCGGGCATCCAAATCGACTATGTGGGATACTTAAGATAGTACGGGCTTCCTCTTCATTAAAACACAACTCAATGACCTCACGCTTCCAATTACCCCCCAGATCCACCAAGTTGGCAACCAATATAGGCATATCCTGATGACGTGAAATAGATCGAAACATCCTTGGTATAGGAAGCCATGGGTCTGTTGCAGTTTGAATACACCTCGCATCCCCCACCCGCCACCGTACACCAGCCTTTAGAATTTTCCTTCCCTGTAAATCCCCTTCCAACCCCAAGAAGTGCTCTACCTACCGGTGCATCCATGAATGATACAGAAGGATAGTATTTAGCTTGCAGTACTCTAGCCAAAAATGAGTTCGGATTACATATGAGTTGCCACCCCACCTTAGCCAACATAGCTAAGTTAAAATCAATAATCTCCTTGAACCCAAGACCACCAGAATCCTTCTATTTTGCAACTTTGTTCCAAGCCATCCAATGAATTCCCTTTTTTGTCTTCTGATCCCTCCACCAAAATCTTGCAATAACTTGTTCAATTTCCTTTGCCAATTGAGTGGGCAATTGAAAACATGATATAATGTATATAGGTAAAGAAGCCGCAACACTCTTAATCAACACCTCCTTCCTGGCTACTGACAAAAATTGTTCCGCTAACCCATTAATTCTCTCATCTAATCTATTCCGTACTTCTTCAAACACGCTTTTCTTTGATACTCCAAAATCTGCTTGAATGCCCAAATACTTCCCAAAACCTTCCTGGTGTTTAATCCCTAAGATCTGTGACAAGTGAGCTTTCAATCCTTGCGAACACCCCACACTAAAATGTACCAAACTTTTATCCAAATTAATGAATTATCCAAACCCTGTAGCACATTGTTGGAGCAAACCCTTAACATTCAGAACCTCAAGCTCCGTAGCTTAACAAAAAAGCATTGAATCATCCGCAAAAAAAAAAACATGTGATAGAGGGTCGGCACAAGCACTTACCGACATGCCACCGATACGTCCCATCCTCGCTTCATTATGGATTAAGGATAAAAATCCTTCTGCACAAATAAGGAAAGAAAAGGCGATAACGGATCTCCTTGCCAAATGCCCCTTCGAGGCATGATATATCCCCTTCAAGCTAGTTCTAACAATGAAAGTATCTCCAATAAAGATGTGTAAACATGTTTTTGCTTTAATTAGCAGAAAAATAATTGTAATAAATCTTATGACTAGATGAACTATGATCGTTTGATTAAGTGAATAAGCGATCTCAGATCCTTGATCTCAAATTTACATCAAAACATTACTGCTCGTGTAACAGTTACTTAATGATTGGGAGGTAAAATGTTTTCCATCAAGAATGGGAGATGCTTAAGTCTTTTGTTTAAAAAGCCTTCGTTTTGTATTAAATCTTCTGTACCCAAAATAAGTGTAGCTTCTCTATGGCCTCAATGAGTGTTAGATACATATTAAATTTATGAAAACAAAATTAAGCAAAGTTAAGATCATAAATACGTGTTAGTCACTTATTGAGGCCACAGAGAGACCACACCTATTTTAGGTGCAGAAGGTTTGGTCTCCTTTGTTTTTATAGAGAAACGACATAAGTAATTTGAGCTTGAGTGCAATTAGAGGGATTACACTTATATAATTAATTGACCTAGCTCAGTAGATGATGCTTTACCATAGTGGCGGAAAACAATACCTTTGTATATCTTGGTGCATGTACGATCCTACTATAATTCCTCTCCCCTAACAACTATTTAACCCACTATAATTCCTCTCCCCTAACAACTATTTAAGTCGCTACTAAAAAATTAACTAACCTAGCTCATAAATAAACAAATTCAATTTCTGCACTAAAAGTTCGACCAAAAAAACTTTGCTAGTAATAATACTACACGATGGAAGTTTTTTAGGGTAGTGATATTCACACATTTATTTTTCCGTCTCATACATTCCTCCCAATTTTCAGCCGTCCGGTCAAATGAATTGAAGAAGATCAGTAATACAATAAATTAGCAAGAGTACGTGAGAGGTAAAATGAATATGTGAATAACATTTTCTGTTGTTTAATACAACGATATATTTTGTGGCATTTCCTTAGGCTTTCCGGAAAAAGAAACGGCATACGCGCCAAAATCCACAATCAATACACGTAATAGTTGTAATGAATTCAACGCCGCTGGTGACTAAAAAAGAAGCGGGAACAATGGCTGCCCCAAAAATCCGGCCGACATCAGCGTTCACTGTCCAAATCTATCAGCCGCTAAAACGACACCGTAGATGCGCAAATCAAACTCAAAATAGGCACATTACGCGTCCGATCTCTGTTCCATTCGTTAAACACCGAAAAATTAGGGATTGAACTGGACGTTAAGCTAATCCTCTCCCTAATTTTACAGAAATTCGAGGGGATATATTGAGCAAGTAGTCAAAAGGGATCAAACATTCCCATGGTAAACTCAGATTCGCCAACTTCATAATTTCTAAATCCTTAAACCTAACCTGACCTGATTTGGAGAATCAAATCTCTCAAATTTGGGGAAGGTTCAGGGAACAAGAAGAAGATCAACAAGGATTTTTGGGGAGCTGAGATTATTTTGATTTAATTTAATTTAAGTTTAAATGATTTCTCCTCCTCAAATTTCTTAAGGTTTTGCAAAATACAAAGGCGAGCTTCGCTTCGCTTTTCTTTCGAAATCCATCCGTTTTTATTCCTGATTTCGAAAGAAAAGGAAAAAGCTCGCCTTTGCGTGGTAAGTTGAGTGAAATAATTCATAAATCCAATGGAAGCCCATTTCGCAAAATCGGTGCCAGTCCCTCTCATCCTCCTGAGCCTCTTCCCAATCATTGTCTTCTGTTCCTTCACTACAGTTCGATCCGACCACGAATCATCTACGATGATTAATCTCCGGTTGCCCTCAGATGCCACGTCCGCGGATCGATGCAGTGCACAAGTGGAGTCACCCTTGTCCCGCCCCATGTGTCCGGTAAGCTGCTTTAGACCAGACCCGGTGTGTGGGGTGGACGGGGTTACCTACTGGTGTGGGTGCCAAGAGGCACAATGTGCCGGTGTCAAAGTAGGAAAATTAGGGTTTTGTGAAGTGGGCAACGGGGGGTCTGCCCCTCTCTCTGCTCAGGCGCTGCTTCTGGTTCACATTGTTTGGCTGATCGTCCTCGGCTTCGCGGTCCTTTTCGGGCTGTTCTGAATCGACAACGACCATTAGTTGATGATTTTGCTGGTTTCTTGGAGGTCAAGCAAGCTTCAATCATTTTAATCTTCTTGCAACGCAGAGACCATTTAACTGATCAATTGATATGACCAGACACACAGAAAAACAAAGAACATGCGTGTTGTGCAAGAAAGTCGTGATCTTTTGTATCTTCAATTTTTTTTTTCTTGATTAGGTTTATCTTTGATACAGTGAAGGCCTCTCTTACATCATTGAGTAATGGAATTACTTTCATTCACCACTCTTAAGTGATGGTGATGCTCACCACCCTATTTATCACGGTTAGATAAGTTTAAATTTCATAATCTGTAGTGGATAAATACAAATCTCAAAATTTATACTCATTCAACGGTGATAGGTAAGGTGATGAACATTACCACCACTAGAGGGTGGTGAGCAAAAATGCACATGTTGAGTAATAGAGGAGGATACAGATAGGCCTTTGTGCTTACGGTTTGATTCATCAGAAACGGATTGTTGGAAAATAGATAACGATTGAATTTTTAAAGTTAAGATGAACATGTACCATTTGATTAAATCTAACGGCTCTTACAAAAAAGAGTCGTCACGAGTCCTTAAAATGAGGACCTTAGGTGAACATCATTGTTTGATCACTTGTATATGTACATGCAAGAAAATCGAATTAAACTTCTTAGCGGGTTGGCTTGGTATTGCTGTGATTTGAAAAAAAAAACTTATTCTGCTTTGCTGTGAGAATAAGCTCATTTTTGCTGCTTCACGTTTTCATCTTTTTTTCACCCAAAACTGTGAAAATAAGATGTTTTTAAGTGTTTACCAAATAAATTTTTGAGCTCAGTTTTTATATCCACTTTTTATAAAAGCACCTCAGTACCAAATCAGTACGTAGTCTTGCTTTTTATCTTGATTATTTGTATGAAATTATAACGTTTGACATTGAAATGGGCCAAATGGTCAACGAATCTCTTTCAATTAATTTGAGCCCATTACATGCCAAAATTGTTTTTGGACTTCCGGATGCGGGCCACCCGGCCCACAATCCATAAGGCGGCTAGTCGCCCAACACCACACGCTGCCTTGTCTGGTCATCCTGTGAGCTCTGAGAAACCAGTCCCGCCACTTGTAGCCGTTGGCAGCCAAACGCTCCGCCACCGCCACACAGAGCTCCCAGAAATGTTATTTTCTTGCGCTCCGTTTGGAATCTCCAACCCCATCGTCTTCCTCACCTTCACCAATCTCGGCCACCGCGCCAGTAATTTACTCAAAACCAAACGCGCCGCCTCAATCTCCTCCCTAAATTACCAGTCCGCCACAGCATCGCAGGCGCACCATGACAGCCTTAGGGTTTTGGAATGGGACAAGCTCTGCGACTCCGTCGCCTCCTTCGCGCGTACTTCGTTAGGCCGCGAAGCCACCAAGGCACAGCTTTGGTCTTTGAGTCAGACGTACGAAGAAAGCCTCAGGCTTTTGGACGAAACCAACGCCGCCGTCGAAATGCGCAAGCACGGCGGTTGCTCTTTGGATTTCACCGGCGTCAATGTCGTTTTGGTACGCAATCTTCCAAATTTCCATGCCTCTTGTCATTCATTTCCTGAAAATTTGATGACTTTGCCCGCTTCTCACTGAATTTTAGGTGCAATCTGCCATACAACATGTTCGGAGGAGTTCGCCACTGGACGGGGACGAAGCGCTAGCTGTGGTGGCGATGCTGCAGTACGCGGAGAATTTGCAGAGTAATCTGAAAGCTGCTATCAAGGAAGATGCAGACTGGTACACACGTTTTATGCCGCTTTCGGAAGTGGTAAATTGTACAACATTGAAATTTCGAATAAAGTAGTACCGATTGTTAGCATACATTTCAATGAATTTATATGTATCTACTTTTAACTGCTTCCACAGATAATGGAATTCGAAGTTAATCGGTCACTAGTTAAGCTGATACAGCAAGTTATAGATGAAGATGGCAGCGTTAAAGACTCTGCGGTTCGTTACTAAATGTGTTACTTTGTATTATGGTGTTTTTTCCCCTGCATTCTTGCCTCATTCAAAACTTTTGTTCCTTGTTTTAGAGTCCTAATCTGAAACGATTACGCAGTCAAGTTCGGACGCTTGAGGGAAAGGTAAGTTATTATATTTTCTTTATCATCGCCCATGGAGATTTGAAAAGACGATGAATTTCTTGGTTTTGAGGTTATTGTTTCTCTTCATACTTATTCACAACTTATCGTATGAGTTATTGCTCTGCTGTTCAGATTAATCAGTTAATGGACAGCCTAATTAGGAATGACAAGAGTGAAACGCCGTCCCTGGTAAGAAGCTCAAGTTCGGGGATGTATATCGTAATGTCTTCAAGATTATTATCCTAATTACTATACTGTAATTGGTTCAGGAAGTGAGTAATGTTGATGGCAGGTGGTGCATTAAATCAACTGCTAACGAACTGAAAATTTTTAAGGGTCTGCTGTTGCCCAGGTCTGTAAAGTTTGTTGTATAACTTTTATCAACTCTGAGCATTCAAACAACACTTTATTTATTGTTTTAAGGTCTTGATCATATTTTGTAGTTCTCTCTCAGATGTTGATTGATTCAGTCCTGAAAGTGATATAATGTTATAGTCGTTCAGGCATAGGAAGCATTGTCGAGCCATTATCTGCTATCCCTCTAAATGATGAATTGCAACGAACAAGGGTACTAGTTTCAGAAGCTGAGGCAGAAGTTCTCTCAATGTTAACAGAAAAGGTTTCTGGCTTTACGTGGTATAACTATTCTTTTTCTGGCTATATAATATTTTCCCCTTTTTTACGTTTATCTTCTTGTTGTTTTGTGTACAGATGCAAATGGATCTTGATAACATTGAACAACTATCCAACAGAATAATCCAATTGGATGTGGTAGGTTGCTGCCACCATTCAATGATATCTTCTTTCAGCTCGTTCTCTCTTTCATTTTATTCTTGTACGGGATCAATTAACTTCTAAAGAAACAAAAGGAACAATAAAAGAAAAAAATTTCATACCTTAATTTGAATGCCTCAAAAGCAGTCTTCACAAAATTCAGAATCATTACTCAAGTTTGAAGCACATTCCAACTGCATGATCATATTTTCATGGAATTTTTTCTAAATACCATTACGGCTGTTACTTTTTCTCTTATTTTGGTTGGAAATTCATTAGTTTGGGCTGTTAATTTGTAGGTCCATGCCCGAGCAACTTATGGTCTATCATTTGGGGGAACATATCCAAAAATATTTCTACCAGGAGGGCATGGCCCTTCCACTTTGACCAACTTATCGGGGAACAAACATCAACAAGTATCTGATCCCTCAAAGAGTGAATGGGTGTTGTATCTGCCGAAAGCTTATCATCCTCTATTACTTCACCAACATAGAGAAAATTTACAGAAGGCTAGGAAGGAGTTAAAGAATGCCACTATGGTACTTATGTGATAACTCATAATTGTAATCTGGTGCCCATTTGTTATATGAATTAAACTCGACTTTATTTTTACTGTATTCTTTTAATAGAGTGGCGATCAATAGGACTTGCATTGAGGTGAGTGCCACCTTTCAACAGTCAGTAGTTTACTTCTTGACAAGTATGTTATAAACATTTTGTTCTGTTACTAGGAAATCAAAAGAAAAGTACAAGGAGAAAATGTTGCACAGAAAGCGGGAAAAGATACCAATATTTCATCCTTAGAATTTAAGGTAATCTCTAATTTAATAGGGTGATTATTCATAATACAGATGGCAGGAAATTCTTATCTCTTAGTGTGCAGACACTCTATATTTATTAAACAGATATTTTGTTAATAATGTTTTACCTCTGTTTGCCAGGCTAAAGAACTGGAACAAGCTCGACCAATTCCAGTTGATTTTTTCATAGCTAAAAAAACACGAGTTTTGGTTATCACTGGCCCTAATACAGGGGGTAAAACCATTTGCCTAAAGACTGTAGGATTGGCAGCCATGATGGCAAAATCAGGTTTATCTAACATATCTTAATTCTTTTAGTCATTCCTTTAAGTTTTACTAGTAGTCTCACTATTGTACAGATACTGTAATTGTTATACTTTCTCATATCAATCTGAGATTGTTAATATCCAGTCCACAGACACTTCGGATGAATAGGTTTATGAAATGAAAACAGATCGCTCTCCAAACGGGTAGAAAGTATTTAGGGACATAAAATTGTCACAAATGCAACTTTCAACACTTGTAACCCCCTTTTTTACACATTGCAGGTCTTTATGTTTTATGTTCCGAATCAGTACAAATCCCTTGGTTTGATTCAGTTTTTGCTGACATTGGTGATGAACAATCCCTGACCCAATCGCTTTCCACCTTTTCCAGCCACTTAAAACATATAAGCGTAAGAAAAAAGTTCTTTCTGAAAGTTTTTCTACCTTGTCTTTAGTAAAGCTTCCATATGGTAAACATGATCAACAACAAAGGTAAAATAGATAAAAACTTGATTGAGACATTTACTGCAGGAGTTTCGGTGAAAATTCTTGACTATATGTTTATGATTCATGCAGGACATCCAATCACAGTCAACAAGTCGTTCACTTGTGCTACTAGATGAGGTCTGGTTAAATTGACTGTTTTTTAAATGAAAAAAAATATGAAAAATGAAAGGAAATAAAAATGAATACAGGTATTACACAACTCCTTTTGCGTTTGTTAGGTTGGTGCAGGAACAAATCCTCTCGAAGGAGCAGCACTGGGGATGTCTCTCCTGGAGTCTTTTGCCGAAACTGGTGCTTTGTTGACAATTGCTACAACACATCATGGTGAACTCAAAACCCTGAAATACAGGTATATGACATACAAGTTAAAGATGCAAATATTGCATTACTAATGACAGTTCAATTATTTAACACGTCAAGTTTGTAGGAAGAAAAAATGGTTGTCAGACTTATGGTCATAGTTTGTTCTGGATGTCGTTAATTGAAGCGAAGTTTGCCCCATCTTCCTACTTGAAATCTATATGAGCCCATATAGTATGTGTCCTGCTATAAAGTCTTTGTTTCATGTTGATGAGATTGGTTCTTTGACAGCAACGAGGCCTTTGAAAATGCATGTATGGAGTTTGATGAAGTGAAGTTAAAGCCAACTTACAGGATTCTCTGGGGAGTACCAGGTCTTCATTATGACAAACAAATTTAGCCTTTGTTCTGATTTTTCTTTTTAAATCTGTTATACTGGTGACAGAAGGGAAGAGCCATGCTATGTAATTTATTAGTAGTCGTGTGGTGTTCCCATCTATTGTTACATTATACGGTTATATTACTACATAATGACTGAAGGATTGAGATTTATTCCGCAGGCCGTTCAAATGCAATCAATATAGCTGAAAGGTTAGGACTACCCGGTAAAGTTGTAGATAATGCCCGTGAACTATATGGTGCAGCTAGTGCAGGAATAGATGAGGTAACATGCGTAGCTTTTCTCAAGTTCTGTTCGAAATCTCTCATTTTCTTCACGTCATTAAAATGAATCTGTTCATTCCAAATTCCAATGCAGGTGATAATTGACATGGAACGGTTAAAGCAGGATTTTCAAGAGCTTTTACATGAAGGACAACATCATCTGATGTGAGATTTTTCTGCCCAGTTTAGATAATACTGATATAAACTTAGTGTTACAGTCTTGAACAGGGAACAAATTTTGGAAAGAGAAAATAACATAAAAGCTAAGTCATGATGCCTAGATGAATCTAAGGTTACAGACAGTGAATCAGTTCATTTTTGTACTCGTAGGCTCTCAAGAGAGTCGTATGAGAAACTGTTGGTTGCCAAAAGGAAGATTATGGAACATAGTAGTGATCAAAGATATAGGAAGATACGAGAAATATCTGAGGCTGCTGCAATGGCCCGTTCTATCCTTCACAAAAAAGTACGAACACGCCGTGCATCTGCAATTCAATCTCTGCAACCTACTTTAACGCATACAAGCCAGCATAAATTGGAAACTAACAGTCAACGCACAAGAATAGATGATGGACATTCAACGGAAAATAGGAGTGCATCCTCTTTATCGCCATCAGGTATTCATAAACCAATTAGAACTTCCGAGACCTATTTAGCATTGACTGTCAAATCTCTTCACGGGTTGAGTTTTTACCAACCAAGAATGTGTTTTACCATTTTTTAAGTAGTAGTTTTTCACTTTATATTTCAGTTAAATTTGAGCTTCCCAAGGTTGGCAATATGGTGTTTGTTTCTTCCCTTGGAAAGAAAGCTGCAGTTTTGAGAGTGGATCCATCTAAAGAGGAAATAGTGGTTCAAGCCGGAAACATGAAGCTGAAATTGAAACTCGACGACATTAAGGCGTGACTGACAAGAATACATGCATGTGAATGCCATCTACGACGTGAACAGAAAGAACTTTTGGTCGCACAATTGCACATTAACGAGTAAGCATGCTCCGCATTGTTTATAACTCGTTTTAAGTATGCTTTGTTTCCATATCAACTCTTATTTCGCCATCTCTCTCTGATGTCAGATACCGTTATGTTGAATACCATCTGCAGATCCGACAATCAAACTTAATAGTAAGCTGGTAGGTATAGCTCAAGCTTGAACCAAGCATGCCAATTAAAATGCTTACATCTTGAAGATACCCGACACATTGACGGTGGGAGATGCATAATACACTTTATGAGGGTTTCAACCTTCAACCAATGAAAGAGACTGTAAAGAAACATCCTCAGTAATATGAGATGTAACTGCCTCGGTTGCTTATCTTTGTAAGTACATGATTCTATATATCTTGGAACTCAATTCGATGAAACATGGTCCAAGTTTTGATTGTCGTGATCAAATGGATCTTGGATTCGATGTGAATCTGAAAGATCTCTTTTGTGAGGTATCTGTGTAACAAACTTTTGCATCCCCAGCTAGCTTGTTGGGTAAGTAAAAATAAAAGAGAAATGCTAAGAACACTCTCAAAAGTGAGACTCTCTACAGACTCTCTGCCGCCTCATGTTTTTGGCACAATGTTTTATTAGTATCGAAATTGAAGTTAAACTATGAGATGTCAAAGAGTCTGTGGAGAGATAGTAGTGCACTGTACGTTTAAATATTGTTGACTTAATTTGCTTCTTATCACGTGCCCCACGATTTGCAAGAAAGCAGTTGCCCAAGTATTAGCTTTAGCTTCGTTTTTGCGCTTCCATTTTTAAACAAAGAGAAGATTGAACCTTTCTATTTGTTTTTTGAGAAACTTCCATGTAAATGTTTGGTTCCTTTTTGAGAGTGACTACGATATTTCAAGGTCAATAATATACGGGATTTTTCTATTATGCAACGGGAAACCTTAACCGTTGAATCTCTGGCTATACACTGAAGCATAATGGAATTTTTAATCGATTTTTATGATACTTGCGTGGACTTCCTTAACTGTCTCTGTCATATCATACGTGTATTGCATAGAAAATTCCAAATATATAATGCTATGTTACATCAACTTATTTAACTGCAATTGGATTCAACTTGTATTGAATCTGAACCGCTCCTTAGTTTTGTATGCTATTATATTCTCGGCAAACTAAATTGCTGATCCATCAAGTGAGAGAATTCCAAATCAATCACGCACTGTGACGTGGTTTCTCACACACTACACTTGAGATACCATCACAATGTGTCATCCCCGGTGCATTGGACAAGCCTTGCTCCTCATCATCCTTAATGAGAATGGGGTCATCATCCCAAGCAACCCCAACAACCGAATTAGACTGAAAGGTGAAATCCAGAAAATACAGCATGATCACCAAAACAACGCACGACAAGAACATCGAAATCGGCCCGAAAATCCACAGAAACAGAGGGAACGAGAAGTAGAATGCTCGGAGTCCCAGGGACCAGAAATAGCTGCCTCGGTTCACGGTGGTGGCAACGTACTCTTGCGTGAGGTACTGCTGCTTGTGGTGCGGCGGCGACATCATCTTCTTGAACGGCGCGTTGATGAGCATGCTGGCATGGCTGTAGTATCTTATGGACTGCACGTTGAACAGGAATGCCACCAAGAAACACACTAAAATGGCGAAGAACTTGATCGAAAACGCAAACTCACTTCGGTTTCCGAAAACGAAAAATGCTCCCCTGTTGCTGCTGGTCATCAAGAGGGCAATGAGAGAGCAGAGCATGATCGCTGTCGAGGCCAAAACGGTCGATGCCATTATGTTGTTTCGAAGCGTCTGCACCGGAAGAATACCATTCTTTGGAGCATCCTGCATTTCATACAGATCCAAATTGGTCAGTAAAATTCAATCTTTATCATTCATGTTGGTTTTGTAGGCATTTCTAGGATTCATGACGCATGCAAAAGGATAATCCATGCATCTAGAGAGTCATTTTTCTTTATATGAATGCATGGCATCATTTCACTGTAGAAACATCATAATCCGATCAGTCATTTATTCTCTTTATCATTATACCGTTTAGCCATCCGTATATATATATATATATATATATTTATTTATCAGTAACGATAAATTTACATGGATGACTAATCAGTCTACAAATTGAATGAAACTTTCTGAAAATAGTCTTTTAGATGATGATAAAGAAAATAAACATTTCGGTTTGTTGGGTTTGACTTACGTCCATCATGGCTTGAACCCAGAAGCGGCGATTGATGGAGTTGATGCCGATGACGGTCTTATTGGGTTGCTTAACGATTCGACATAGGAGCCATAGATGGTAAGCCGCCATCAGCAGGAGGCCTGCTGGTACCAAAATGTAATCCAGAACTTTTAGCTGCATCTTCTTCACTTCAGTTATAATCCTCCTTCCTTTCTTTACTTATATTGTTGATAGAACGCGAGGTAAGTGCAAGTGGAATACGTCTACGATGGTGAGTTTGTGATTTTTTTATAACGAAGTGGTTGGTCTCGGAGTATCTCCAAAGAAAAATGTCAAATACACAGAACCTCGAAGTTGAATTCGATTGGATGACTTATGTTCTTATTTCTTTATATATTTTCTGGACTATATATAAATGACTCATATACTAATTAAACATTTGTGTAGTTATGATTTAAAGAGGTAATCACGGTTAACAAAGATAAAAAATTAAAAATTAAAAAAAAAAAAAAAAAAAAAAAAGGTTGTGCATTCATGATATAACTTTTTTTATTTGATCGGGCATCGGGTGTCCACCTTTCTATTCGTTGAAATAAAATATAGGGCAATGCTAGGGAGACGGTGGGAGATGCATAATATACTTTATTAGAGTTTCAACTTTCAGCCAACGACAGGTAATGTAAATAAACATCCTCAGTAATATGAGATGTAACTGCTTCGGTTGCTCATCTTCGTAAGTGCATGATTCTATGTATCTTGGAACTCGATTCGTTGAAACATGGCCCAAGTTTTGATTGTCATGATCGAATGGATCATGAATTCGACATGAATCTGAAAGATCTCTTTTGTTAGGCATCTGTGTAACAAACTGTGTTGCATCCCCAGCTAGCTTGTTGGGTAAGTAAAAATAAAGCCCTTCTGTTTGTTTTCTGCGTAGCTTCCATGCAAACGTTTGGTGCCTTTTTGAGAGTGACTACGATATTTCAAGGATAATAAAATTCGGGGGTTTTCTAGTATGCAACGAGAAACCTTAGCCGTTGAATCTCTAGCCATACACAGAAGCATAAAGGAATTTTTGATCGATTTGTGTGGTACATGCGTGAACTTTCCTTATCTGTCTCTATCGATTTGTACGAAGAATGCCAAAATCCATCAAACTGAACATTATAGTTCATAACTTTATAAGGGTATGAAAACAGACCCCAAGTATTCCATATATGTAATGCTATGATACATCAACTTATTTAATGGCAGTTGAATTAAACTTTATTGAATCTGACATAACTTTATAAGGGTATGAAAACAGACCCCTAGTTTTTGCAACTATTCTATTCTCTGCAAATTAAATTGCCAATCCATCCACCGAGAGTGACGGTATCCTAAATCAGTCACACACTTCGCTTGAGGTACCGTCACGTGTCATCCCCGGTGCATTGAACAAGCCTTGCTCCTCATCACCCTTAATGAGGATCGGGTCTTCATCCCCAGCAACCGCAACAACCCAATTGAACTGAAAGGTGACATCCAGAAAATACAGCATGATCACCAAAACAATGCACGACAAGAACATAGGAATCGGCCCGAAAATCCACAGAAACAGAGGGAACGAAAAGTAGAATGCTCGGAGGCCCAAGGACCAGAAATAGCTGCCTCTGTTCACGGTTGTGGCAACGTACTCTGTCGTGAGGTACTTCTGCTTCTGGTGCGGCGGCAACAACATCCTCTTGAACGGCGCGTTGATGAGCATGCTGGCATGGCTGTAGTACCTTATGGACTGCACGTTGAAGAGGAATGCCACCAAGAAACACACCAAAATGGCGAAGAACTTGATTGAAAATGCAAGTTCGGTTCGGTCTCCAAAGACGAATAAAGTCGTTCTTATTTGGTGCCGCTGGTCATCAAGAGGGCAATGAGAGAGCAGAGCGTAATGGCGGTCGAGGCCAAAAGGGTCGATGCCATTATGTTGTTTCGAAGCGTCTGCACCGGAAGAACACCATTCTTTGGAGCATCCTGCATGTACAAATTCAAAATTGGTCACTAAAGATTCAATCTTTATCATTCATGTTGGTTTTGTAGAGATTTCTAGGATTCATGTTACATGCAAACGATAATCCTTACATGTAAAGTCCTTATATTACTACATGAAATCATTTCATTGTAAAAACGTCATAATTGAACCATTTATTCTCTTATCACCATTACCCTTTAGCCATCCGTATATTTATCAGTAACGAGGGTTATGGTAACTAGTATCTTCATAATTTAACGTCAACTTGTTTGATTTATATAGATGATCAAGGTTCTAAAAGGTGTTACTAGTCTGGCAGCTTGCAGGGGCCAAGCACCTAAGTGTCTCAGCGGCCCAGACGGTTTTTTACTTCTTCATATTTTAGTTAAATTTATTATATATTATAGGGAACTTTAACGAAAAGCTTCCAGTACTGTTCACTTTAACGAAAAACCATATTTTTACGCTAAAAGTCAATCTTAATATTATTCACTTTACCCTTTATTTTGTCTTTATCGTTAAGACTCAAAATTTTCAAACAATTTTTATTAGTTTTCCTTATTTCTTATATACATAAATGTCTACTTACACTTACAAAAAATAAGAAAGAATCGCGACCTAAATGGGTGCCTAAAACGGATCTCGACAGACCAAACGCCTGGTCTAGCAGCCTTTCTTATTTTTTAAATGCCTAAGTATTAATCGTAGCGATGACCAGTCGCCTAACTCCTAAACGGCGTTAGGCGGGAACTTTTAAAACACGGTAGATTCTTAATCAGTCTACAAATGAATAAAAAAATTGTAAAAATGATCTTTTAAACGATGATAAAAAAAAAAAAACATTTGGGTTTATAGGGTTTGAGTTACCTCCATCATGGCTTGGACCCAGAAGCGGCGATTGATGGAGTTGATGCCGATGACGGTCTTGTTGGGTTGCTTAACGATTCGGCATAGAAGCCATAGATGGTAAGTCACCATCAGTAGGAGGCCTGCTGGTACCAAAATGTAATCCAGAACTTTTAGCTCCATCTTCTTCACTTCAACTGGAATACGTGGTTGAAGGGAGAGCGAGAGGAGAGTGCAAGTCGAATACGATTCCGAGTGTGTTTTTGTGTCTTTTTTTTTTTTTTTTTTTTAATTTTTTATAACCAAGTGGTTGGTTTCGGAGCATCTTTGAAGAGCATCTCCAAAGAAAAATGCAATAATATCATTGTTCATGTCTTGTATGCGTACCCATTTAATCAGGCCCCTTATTAGAAAATATTTTCAATTTTGGGTAAAAATAGGGATTAGTTGTAACTGACACACCCCGTCCCGAAGGAGGGCATGCTGGCCGTCACGTGAGAGTGACGTAACCATTTGCACAGTACGGAAGCTTTAAAGATACAATTTATAAGTTGATACACCCGAAGGTGAGTCCTAATTTTGTCCAATCTGTCAGAACACCGTCGAATTCCTCGTAGTCACCACACCTTTGTGATTCCTGAACCTGGAGGGGCGCAAAACCAAAATTGAGTGGGTCAGTAAAACAATTCTTTTCCAAATCCAAACATTTCTCAAAACGTTGTAACCCCTCTCCGTAAAACCTGTATACTTTCCCAGAAATGTAAAATATAAATATACATATATATTCTCAAAACTTCAATTCACTTTTTCAACATTTTTCATATCAGTTATGCCATGCCATGTCTAAAATTAATAGTTAAGTATGGATGCATCAACAATAATCATATCAGGTGCAAGAAAGTAATCAACCGGAGGCCCTCTAATAGCCCTGCACGGTTGAACCTAGAGCTCAAAATCTATCACTCTCACTCTGCCGGAGTCACCTCTGTGACTTGTCCGGCCTTCTGCACACAAGTTACGCTCTAGTGCTTTCTCATCAATCATCTGTGCACATAATCTAAGGTCACCCACCAGTCGAAATCTCACTAACACTCTTCGACTGGCCCGTCGCACCCACTCCGCGTGGACTGTGCGACCAGCATCTACTTGGATCCAAGGCGAGCGTGCGTGCGATGCGGTGAATATACTATAAGCACTAAACCATGGTGCAGGATTTGAGCTCAATATATATCAACATCATCATAACAGTATTTAAATACTCACCTGATACTCACATGTGCGTCCGCCGCACCAATTCATACATATGCATCATATATCAATTCAAATCCTTTCATGCATGGCAATTCGATTCACGTTTTTCATATAATTCTATATACTTTTCGCATACTTCTATGCATGGCATTTCAACTAATATATCTCATATACTTTTATACATTTTCATTTAAATCATAATTTCATGCATTTTCAATTTCTGGGAAAACGGCAAGTATATGTATACGGAAAACAAAACTGCCCACTCACAGATTACATCGACGTCTCGTAAGTCCCTGAGCATCCCTTGGCCATGCCCGATGCCCGCATAAACCTCACCTATACAAAAGTAACCAATTTGACGTTATTTAACGCCTAACCCAAATCTTAGTTAATAACCCCTCATATATTGCTCAAATTGGGTATATGAATATACCACCGTGACCTACACAACCTCAGGATCATCCCCATATTTTTAAAATAATTTTTGGAGGTCTCACGCGCCCCCACGCGCGGCCACGTGTTGTGCACACTGACGGTGTCAATTGACGCCGTCAGGAATATTCCGTTAAAATCCCGGAATATTCCGTTAACTTAACCGGATACCGTTACTGCCGTTAGGAATATGCCGTTAAAAATAACGGAATATTCCTTCTTCTTCTTTGGTCGTCCCTCGCCGGACTCCGGTCACCGGAAACTGGGGAATATTTCAAATCCACTATTCTCCTTCGTTTTTCATCCAAATTTCTCGAATTTTACACCCATTTGAAGCCCTAAACATCTACTTTCACGTTGGACTAGTTTTAGGGCCTAAAAACTACGAGATCAAACTTCTCAAAAATTCAAGAAATCGGCCAAACTTACAACTCGTGATCCCGACGTCCAATCCATGCCAACGAAGCACTCCGAGCTTCCTTGTGACTTCCTAAATCTCACTGTGAGTTTGGTTTCACCTAAAACAAAGCCAATTCGAAGTTCATGAACAGTGCTCTTCACGGGAACTTTGAAACTAGGGTTTTTCCGAAGCAAAACTTACCTGAAATGGATACCATCGTGATCGTGGAGGTTCCAGGAGTTTGATGGTGGTCTTAACTCCGTCGTTGGTAGAAGTTTAGGGTTGTTTTATGGTTGGTTTGTTCGAACGGAGAAGAAGAGTGACAGAGAGAGTGAGAGAGTCGTGAGGGAAGAGAGAGACAGTATGCAGAAAATAGGGAGAGG